CCTCCTGAAGGCAACGTCATAGGCCATGCACGCAAAGAAATTGTATTCTGCATGGTACGTGGCGATGACATAGAGATATGCCATGAGATCGGTGGTCTGCTGTGGCTGGTGGGAGGACAGGTAGTGGGCGTATACAGGAAAGCACCTCACCCACTCTATAAAGGAGGAGACCTGTCTCTTCTTTGGTTTCCTAGGGAGGGTAAGTCTATTGTCCTCCCCTAGCTCAATTTGGACAGGGGTCTCCTCCGTACCCTCTGACTCTAATACATGCAGCAGCTCATTAAAATCCACGAACTCACCGGAGGTCGCTGCAGTAGCAAACCTGGCCGGTATGGTGGGGATGGAGCCGCTGTATGGAGCCATCTGAGGGAGGGTAGGGTAGGTGGGCAGGGGTACTGTTGCTGGGATCTGGGTGGGAGGGGGCACGAAGGGCTGAGTGGGTGGAGCCACAGGGGGAGCTGCTGCCAGTCCTGGTATATGCTGGGGGGAGAGAAAGGGGGGCTGGTAAACCCATGACAGGGAGGTTGCAGTGGTGGCACTGGGGCCGGAGGACTGCGGGGCTGCCATGGATCCCAGCAGCGGCGGGAGAGTTGGGGCGGAGCCAGCGAAAGGGACCTGGCTGGGGTGCAGCGAGAACCCGGTGGCGGTGGGCTGCGGTGGAGCTACCGCAGTGGTAGACGGAAAGGGGGGAGGGGTTCGTGCTGGTGCGAACGCTGTGGAGGACGCGGCAGACGGAAGGGCGAACTGCGCCAGCACTTGAGCCGCGGCTTGCTGCGCGGCCTGTCGGGCCATCGTATGGAGGTTCGGCGGCTGCAGGCCAGGGCCAGCGTGAGTGGGCGCAGTTGGCAGGCGAGGGACGCCGGCGGAGGGGGAGGCCGCGGCGTTCGCAGAGACGGCGGGCAAGCCGGTGAATGCGAATCCGACGCCCTGCTGCGAACCAGTGTTGGCGGTGGCTGCAGAGGACGCGGGAAGGGGAGGTAGCTGGGAGCGCAGGGTCAGCAGTCGGGCGATCAGGGGTGATTTCAGACCGCCAGTTGGGAGACCGTTGTCCCTGCAAAGCTGGGTGAGTTGCGCCTTGAGCAGCGAGTCCAAGTCCGCGGTGCGGAGATCTGCTTGTGTCGCCATGGCCGTTAGAACTTTGAGTGGGCCTTTGGCGGGCAGAACACGCTGCAAACACTGCGATACGGGATAGTGTGAGTACTGCCGCGTTGCGCGTCTGTTTTGTAAGCGCATGCTTGCCCGCCTACTTCCGTTTTAACCGTAATTACCCATTAATTACCACAAAAACGGGAATCGGTGAATTACGTAGTTCGCCATAAAACCGCCGCTATGTAATACAACAATATTACGTTGGTGACTTCAATGTTGACTTTGATGGAGGGGGTCAACTTGTCAATTTATTATATGATTTCATGGTAGAGCTTAATCTTCTTGTTTCTGATTTGAGTTTTCGTGAAAGAGTGGGCTATACATATGAACGTGATGATGGGCTCACCTGTTCCTTGATAGCTCATATTACTTGTTTGCAACACATGTCTTCTATTATTTCAGACATATATGCTGTTCATTGTGGCTCAATCCTTTAAGATCACTTCGCTCTGTTCTTTAAATTCCATATTCAATCCCAGTCGTTGCCTACCACTAAGCCAAGAGTTCTCCATCGTACATGCATTGATTGGTCCAAAGTTACTCCTGCTAACATTCAAAACTACTGCGATATGCTCTCTCAATTTCTTGTTTCGCTCCCATCTGAGGTGTCCAACTGTGTGTCTTCATGCTGCCCGCATCATCGGGATGCTCTAGATTTTTGGGCTCAAAGTTTTGTTTCCACCATGCTTGAATGTGCTTATAACTGTTTCCTTACTATCGCAAGTACTTCTGCTAGAAAGCTTGTAGGATGGAAGGACTCTGCTGGCAGATTAAAAGAATCTGCACGCTTCTGGTACAAAGTCTGGAAGGAGGCTGGGTGTCCTGTGTATGGCGTTCTCTTCCAGATAAAGAAAAATGCTAAGACAAGGTATAAGTATGAGGTTCGACGATTGAAGCGCAGGCAAGATAATTTGCTTCAGAATAAACTAACTCAACTTCACTAGGAATGATAAGAAAAAGGTTTGGTCAGAGATCCGTCGGCTCAATCATCCTCAGCCGAGATCGATACCTTGTGTGGATGGTATTTCTTGTAGTACGAGTATTGCCAACATATTTGCCTCGAAAAATTTAAAGGAGTTCTTAACAGATGTCCCAATGCTCTTCAAACCTCTTTCTATTCAACGCTCCAGTCGTCTGTCACTGACACACTTATAAGTGAGGTGTATTTTTCAGAAGAAGATGTTGTAGAGGCCATTCATGAACTTAATCCAAACAAGTATGATGCCGGTGGCAGCACCTCAAGTTCGCTTCTTCTGTCATCTCGGAGTCTCTTGCTACATTTTTCACTTCTGTTATCAGACACAGGTATATGCCAGGTTGCATTCGTGACTGCATCACCACACCCATATTGAAAGGAAATAAGGACCCATCATGCAGTCAAAACTACTGCCCAATTGCTCTGGCTTCTAGTCTAAGTAAGATCCTTGAACGCCTCATTCTACATAAGTATTCCACCTACTTCTTTAGTAGTCCACTGCAATTTGGTTTCAAATCTGGTTATTCAACAACGTTATGCACTGGTGTCGTGAAGAATATAGTTTCTTGTTACATCAACCAAGGATCTTCAGTTCTAGGGTGCTTCTTGGATGCTAGTAAGACCTTTGACTTGGTTAATGATGGCATGTTGTTTCAAAATGAGGTTTGCCCTTGCCAGTTGTTAGGTTTCTGTCTTCTTGGTATCATGATCAGCAAATGCGTGTTCGTTGGGAACAATCTTTGTCTAGCTCGTTTGGTGTGTCTAATGGCATTAGGCAAGGCAGTGTGCTTTCTCCTGTTTTGTTTTCTATATAGTTGCTAGATATGTTGAGTGATAGTAATGTTGGTTCTTATTGGGGTGGTCATTTTCCTGGTGCTGTCTGCTATGCCGATAATATCGTTTTACTGGCTCCCTCTGCTTCGGCCCTCCGACTCATGCTAGAGTATCTGTGATTTGCAACTTCTCATGGGCTACTTTTCAATGCTGACAAAACTCAATTAACCTGTTTTCGTCCACGGAATTCAAATACGCTACTTCCTTGTAACAACACTAAGTTGCAGTATCTTGATAGAGCTGTGCACTTGAGACACATACTCATGTACAACCTTGACGACAGAGAAGACATCATCAGAGTCATAAATGATATCAACCGCAAAGCTAACTTCGTTTTATGTAAATTTTCTACTGCCGACACCTTTGTCAAGTGTTTCTTATTAAATCTTACAGTTTATCGTTGTATGGTATCACCCTCTGGTCACTCTCTTCACCTTCCATTAGATGCTCTGAATAAAGTCATGCGTAAAGTGTGGAACCTCAGCAACATGACACACACTGGGATCACGAAGTACAGTAGTACTCAGTATATAGGGAAGGGCATGGTACCTAGCATCATAGATGTAAGGGACTATGATAGGAAGTTTTGTTCATCTTCTCCTTCTCCTTCTCCTTCTTCTTCTTCTTCAGATTCAACACCCATAACTCAAAAACGAAACCACATAAAGTAATGAAATTTTGTTAGAATGTAGATATCCATCACCCAAAGAGACTGGTCATACTTATTTCTTTGTAAACAACAACAAATAACCCCAGGCAATACATTATAATAGGATCACACTGTGTCAGTATAATTCACAAATGGTAGAACGAAACTTCGTAGACATAATGTTTTCAATCACCAACATCAAAATTACAACAATACATGTAAACAACAACAAATAGCCTCAGGCACTTTTCTTTAAATTTACTTCTTCACTCCTCAAACTCTCCAATGGTAGCACACATATAGATGAAACTTGGTAAGTATGCCTATTATATCATTTCCATGACGATTACATGTTTCCATGACAACCGCATTTTGTTTGAAAAAGTGTCAAGCAATTTTCTTTAAAATTACTTCTTCACTCTTCAAATTTGCCAACTGTAGCACGCATGGAGGTGAAACTTGGTGCGCATGCGTAGTACATCATTTCCATGACGACCACAACAACAAATAGCCTCAGGCACTTTTTCTTTAAAATTACTTCTTCACTCCTCAAACTTGCTAACAGCAGCACACATGGTATGCATATGATTTTTCCATCACGACAACAGGCATTTTTTCTATAATTATTATTAGTAATTTTTTTAGGGCTTGTCCCCTTCCACAGAGATAATATGTAGTAGTATATAAAAATGAGTGGAGACAAGTAAATTACAAATCCTGCGAATATAAAAAAAGAAGCCATATATGGGATGGTATAAAAAGAAAGGGAGACATGATAAGTATGGGATACATGAAGCATGGTTAATGAACAGATTTGACATCCCCAACCCCATCACACAATCCCTATATTGTTGCCTAGGTGAAGTATTAAACATTCACCATTACAATACTCAGAACGAACAATACACTACTGAGTAACCAACACCCAAGTGGAGTTTAATTAAAGGGAATGTGGCAGTATAAATGTTACTTAAAACAACAGGGACATGGTGAAAGAATGCTTGCTTTTAGTAACCTTTAGCCCCTATAAGAATAGCACACCAGGCAACAATATAGGGATTGTGTGATGGGGTTGGGGATGTCAGCGTAGTCAAATCTGTTCATTAACCATGCTTCATGTATCCCATCCCTATCTTGTCTCCCTTTCTTCTTATATCATCCCATATATGCCTCTTTTTTTAAATTCGCAGGATTATTAATTTACTTGTTGTCCATAGCATTGCACAAATACCTACAATCAGTAACATTCTGTATGATCGTTTCTGTCTTTCTTTTCTCATGCTACCTCTTCTTCCTCCATCCTTGTGAGATGTTTTTTTTACTTTTCCAATTATGTTTACAGTTTTACGGGTTACATATGATCATTATAGACATTTCGTGGATCCAGACCTTTTTGCTGCCCACATCATTAGACAATTGAGGTCAATCCATGGATTACGCTCACCTTGTGAGGATATTGTTCATGTTCCTAAGTTGATCTGTTATTTGTATTTTTTGGTTTAGTCATGCATATCCTTTACTGTGTGGTCGGTCCAGGAGCCTGTAAGCCCTCGGCTGGCGAAGGGAAGTAGTCCAGTCGGCCACTGGTCTGCTTTGGTGCTGAGCTTCTCTTTTTCTCTTTCAATATTTTTATTTGCCTATGCTTTGCGTCTATCTTGGTGTGTTGAATAATAATAATAATAATAAGGGTCGTTTTCTCAGAGCCTATCTGGTTAAAAAAATGTGCGCAAGAACGGAGAGAAGTGAAAAAGTGCAAATGATCAGAAAATACCTGGAACAGAGCAGAAAGTAGTAGAGAGATAATTAAAATGTGTTTTAAACCGTGTGATAACGCAGATAAATAAAATACAAACGTAGAGAAGTGGAAAAAAAACAGTACAAATCAACAGAGCAGAAAGTAGCAAACCGAGCGGTTGAAATGGTATAAACGCAGATAAACCTAGCACGTATATTATACCCGCAGTAACGGTGTGACGGCCACCGGCCGCCGGACATCACGGCTTGCATGCACTGCAGCGGGTCCGGCCGAGTAGTTTACAGAAAAGCAGCGCGCGCAAGGCAACTTGATTACGCTGATTTCCTTTGATTTTCTACAGATTTCTGCCGCCCATAAGCGTATATACGAGATTTCAACCCGTGCGGACCCCTCGGCCGCAAATCCATAGAGGTTAATCATTCATACCTTTAGCTTCTGTTCTTGCTTAGATTCCGATCAGCAACAAAACTTTTTCGCGAGGATTTACGACACAGAGACTAGGAGTCAAGAAAATCAGCGATTTCTCTCTGTGTTCTCGCTGAACCGTCTTTCCTGGCAAAATAATGCAGAGACTTCCTAAATGTGAACAAAATGCAGGGACATCCTCAAACACTCCCATTGGCTAACAAATGGCCGTTACGCGGGACGTACAAAAATGCGGGCAACTCACTCGTGCCTGTGTATGGAGTCGACCATGGGATCTGACGACGATATTGAGCATATATACCAAGAAGCGTTTCAAAAGTGAAATGCCCACAGTAAGGCAATGGCTAGCTCTAGCTTGTGTATACGTGCAGTCCAATGACACATGGCGACTCTTATGCAACAGCTGCATGGCCGTAGCAAGCGGTCTGGCCGGTGCGAAAATAGACACACGTTACTGAAGAACGGACAGGCACTGTACAAGATTCTATCTTTGATCAGGTTTTTGGGTAGGCAAGGGCTGGCAGTCAGAGGAGATAGAAATCAATTGGATGGTAACTTTCAGCAACTATATACTCCGAATGAAGGCCGAGGATGACCCAAACCTAGCTGAGTGGCTACAACGAAAGAGAATGTGTAAACAAGCCCTGCAATCCAAAATGAAATCATCAAGGTAATGGGTCTCCGAGATGTTTGTGCTGATCTCCAGCTCGAACCGGGAGCAAGTTACTTTGATTCTCCGTCAGGTCACCCAGGAGCTTGAGGTCCATGAAGAATTTCTTGGCTTATACCACGTTGCCTCTATCGATGCTGCCGTCAAAGATGTCCTCATCAGGATGAATTTGCCCTTTGAGGAACTTCGTGGGCAATGTTATGATGGAGCGAGCGCCATGAGAAGTTCTAAATGTGGAGTTGCCAAGAGGATATGGATATGTGATCTTGAACCCCAAGCAGTTTACACGCATTGCTATGGCCATGCCCTCAACCTGGCTACTGGTGACACACTGAAGCAGTCCGAGGTAATGAAGGATGCACTGGAGACGACCCGGGAGATTACCAAGCTGATAAAATACTCCCCACGAAGAGATGGAATCTTCCAGAGGCTGAAGGAAACGGTGCCAGTGGGGAGCACTCCCGGCATCAAGGTTCTCTGCCCAACAAGATGGACAGTTCGTGCCCAGTCTATCCGCAGCATCCTTGCCAATTACAATACTCTGCAGAGAATTTGGGAAGTAGCACTCCAAGCAACAACAGATACGGAGACCAAGGCAAGGATCCAAGGGGTGGCAGCTCAGATGATAACATTCACCTATTTAGTCAGATCAATGCTTTGTGAGCTTGTTCTCAAGCATGCAGACAACCTCAGCAGAACACTCCAGCATGCTTCAATGTCAGCAGCTGAGGGCCAACAGATCACTACGATGACAGTTGCCACACTGAACTCAATGCGCAGGTAAAGACCAGTTTGACCTTTTTTAGGACCTGGCCATCCTCAAGGCAGAAGAACTCGGTATCAGCGAGCCTCAGCTGCCCCGGCAAAGAAAGCTACCTCGCAGGTATGACGATGGCTCAGCCAGTGGACAGTTTCCATCAACACCCAAGGCACACTTCAAGCCGGCTTACTTTGAAGCCATTGACTTAATAACAAACTGTGTCAAGGAACGGTTCGACCAACCCGGTTATCGGATCTGCCTCCAAACGGGAAGAGTTTCAGGAGAACCTGGATGATGTTTGTGCGTTTTACCACAATGACTTTGAAAATGAGCTTCTCCATTCCCAGTTGCAGACATTTGGAATACATTTCCAAACAGTGGAGGAACCAGCAGTACAGATTTCAATCTTCGATCTGAAACTATACTTTCTGTCTCTCTCACCTGGACAAGCCTCTCTTCTTTCACAAGTCAGACGCCTCCTGCAGTTGATACTTGTGATGCCAGCAACTAATGCAACATATGAGAGGTCGTTCAGTGCTCTCCGCCGCCTAAAGAACTACCTGAGGACAACCCTGGCACACGAGCAGCTCAATCACTTGATGGTCATGCACGATTTAAAGTCTGTTTTGAACAATTTTGTTGCGTGAATCTGAACACCGAACTGGCATAACTATTACTACTTTGCTGTGAACATTTTAGTTTATCTTCATCCAGTGGCCCGGCCACCCCCCTTTTATACCCGCCCTGGGACTGCGCGACCTCTAGTGCGGAAACTCTGCAATGTATATACAACACATCCGCGCGTTATACCACCCGCATTTGAGAATGTCATGTGGGGCGTGGTTTAACGTGGTTTAAGGGGCGTGGCTTATACTACGGCCTTGAGCCACTGGAAGGCACAAGTTATGGGCCTCACTTCAAGTGTGATGTGGAAAGCTGGGAATATAGGGATGACACAGGTTGTCCTGCATTATGCCCATACATTTGAGATTTTCATGTTTCACTTTCTATTTCAATCAGATCCAACTTTTGACACATCAGTGTATCGTCACAAAGAGCATGTATCCAAGAAATAGCATAATCGGTACTTGATTTATTCAAAAAAGTCACTTTTCAATTCTATTCTTGTTGTTGTTGTTGTTGTTGTTCAGTTTAGACAAGCGCATCTCAAAACCCGGGTAAGCACAGATATTGGCATCCATGACAGGTCGTGCAAGAGCATTTTTATTTCTTCGTAAACAAGTTTGTTTACATGTAAACAACAAAAAAATAGCCCCAGGCAATACATTATGATAGAGACAAATAAAGTGTGCTAACTGGGTAAAGCTACTACCCAGAGTGATAAAACTTTGTACACACATGCAACCCATCATTAGTATCAAAATGTAAACATTACAAGTTTGTAAACAACAACAAACAGCCTCAGGCAATAAAAACTTGTAGAATGTGTTTGTGCCTATAACTTGCTTATGGTGGGTCCTCTAACAATGAAACTTAGTACACTGATGTACCATGATGAGAGTTGATTGAAACAGAAGTTACAAGTTTGTAAACAACAACAAACAGCCTCAGACAATAAAAACTTGTAAACTATATTATTGCCTATAACTGGCTTATGGTGGGACCTCTAAAATTGGTACACTGATTTACTATGATAAGAGTTCATCGAAACAAAAATTACAAGTTTGTAAACAAGCCTCAGGCAATAAAATGATGTTTGTGCCTATAAGTTGCATATTGTGGGTCCTCTAACAACAAAACTTGGTATATACACTGATTTACAACGATGAGAGTTCATCGAAACATAAATTACAAGTTTGTAAACAAGCCTCAGGCAATGAATGCTTGTAAATGATGTTTGTGCCTGTAACTTGCTTATTGTGAGTCCTCTAACAATGAAACTTGGTACGTTGATTTACTATGATAAGAGTTCATTGAAACATGAATTACTAGTTTGTAAACAACAACAAACAGCTCAGGCAATTAAGTGCTATAACTTTGTACACTTGTCTACTTTGGAAGTGAAATAAAAATGTAGATGACGACTAACAGACCGAGGCAATAAATACATGTTACTTTTTATATGGACATTATGCCCCAATGCATGTGCATGCCGTAAAAAAAGGAAAGGAGACAAGTAAATAAAAATTAAAAAAAGTGTGGAATATTGGGATGCCATAAAAGGCAAGGAGACAAGACACGGATGACCTAGTGTATGTGATGCATTAGTACTGTGGGATGATGGTTACATTTTCAAACTGACATTGCTTGCTCGTGTAAATCTTCCTCCACACAAGCCCTATATTGTCGCCACTTTTCTCACAACATTAATTTGTTTAGTGTGAGGACAATGGTGAGGCTGAGACATAGCTGCACATCATACAATAGAGATCACTCGTGCTAGTAAGAGATATTAATGACAGTGCATTTAGCCGGCACTCTTTAATTGAGTCCCTTCTCTCAAGAATATTAAGACCAGTCTGTAAAGGGATTGTCTGGCGGGCCATGAACACAGCATTGTAAAACTCATCGTTAGTTGAGCGAACACCGAAGTCTTAGACTGCACACAATGCAGTCACAACCAAAAACTGAGGAGAGCTGTCAGAGAGGGCAACACCTGTGCATCACGTGCTTAAGAGATGAGTCATTCTATGAGGAAGCACAGTCATGCTTTGCGACAATATAGGGCTTGTGTGGAGGAAGATTTACACGAGCAAGCAATGTCAGTTTGAAAATGTAACCATCATCCCACTGTACTAATGCATCACATACGCTAGGTCATCCGTGTCTTGTCTCCTTGCTTTTTATGGCATCCCTATATTCCACACTTTTTTTCTTCCGTGTGCCGTTGAGGATGTCGGAGAGAGCACGCCTCTGTTCATCAGAAGTCCTTTTGTAACTCGTGGCCCCTTCCGTGCTACAGTGTCCCGATCGCTCCATGACAAGCTGCTCGTCTACACCGACTGGTACAGTCTGCTGGTCGACGTGGCCCTCAACGAATGGTTCGTGATTCCAGCGGACTTGCAGACCCGGGAAACCGTGGTTGACAGCCCATCGCACGCCGTGAAAACCAACATGTTTCAGATGGAGAATTTAAAGATTTAAGATAGAAAGCGTCGGCTGGAGCATCTGACGGACACAAACTCATGTACTTCTTGAAGAGCCTGATAAAGCAGCGCTGAGGGTTCTGCGTGTTTTCGTGGTAGTAGACGACCTTTGGCTTGATTTTTCGTCCCTTCAGCCAGCCG